CATAAATTAACCCACATATTTATAGCCAACTGATCTTTGACAAAGGCAACAAGAACTTATATTGAGGAAAAGACTGCCTCTTCAATAAATGGTACTGGGAAAACTGGATATTCATTTGTAGGAGAATGAAACGTGATCTGTACCTTTTACCAGATGCCAAAATCAACTCAAAATGGATTAGAAACCTAAATATAAGGCCTGAAACTTTAAAACTCCTACAAGAAAATGTAGGGGAAACACTCTAGGATTTAGGACTGGGCAATGACTTTATGAATAACACCCCAAAAGCACAGGCAACAAAAGTAAAAATAAACAAATAGGATTATATCAAAATGAAGAGCTTCTGCACAGTAAAGGAAACAATGAACAGAGTGAAAAGATATCCTACAAAACGGGAGAAAATATTTGCAAAAATTGCATCTGACAAGGGATTAATATCCAGAATACACAAAGAGCTCAGACAACTTTATAGCAAAAAAACAGATAATCAAATTAAAAAATGGGCAAAGGAGCTGAATAGACATATCTCAAAGGAAGACATACAAATGACCAACGGGTATATGAAAGAAATGCTCAACATCACTAATAATCAGGGAAATGCGAATCAAAACCACTCTGAGATATCACCTCACCCCAATCAGACTGGCTATTATAAAAAAGACAGAGAATAACAAATGCTGGTGAGGATGTGGAGAGAGGAACCCTCCTGCACTGTTGGTGGGACTGTAACTTAGTACAGCCATTATGGAGAACAGTATGGAGGTTCCTTAAACAACTAAAAATACAACTTCCATATGATCCAGCAATCCCACTCCTGGGGATATATCCGGAGGATTGGAAAACATCATGTCGAAGGCATATCTGCACTCCCATGTTTATTGCAGCTCTATTTATAATAGCTAGATGATGGAACCAACCTAAATGTTCATCAGTGGATGACTGGATAAGGAAATTGTTGTTTATATACACAATGGAATACTACTCAGCCATAAAAAGAATGATATACCATTTGCAAAAACATGGATGAGCCTCGAGAAAATTATCCTAAGTGAAACAACCCAGGTACAGAAGGAGAAATACCACATGTTCTCACTTATAACTAGGAGCTGAATCCATAAATAAAGAAATGGACAATAAATAGAGACAGAGGAAGAAGGAGGGAAGGAAGGAGGGAAGGAAGGAAGGAAGGAAAATGAAAGAAAGAAAGAAAGAAACAACAATCACAGTGACACGTTGAACTTTTAGAAAACTAGAGGTGGAAAAGGGGAAGGGAGGGGGAAAGGGAGGGGGGCTAATAAAGATTTGGTCAATGGACACAAAGAATAATTGTGTATTTTAATGATGAATAAGCTAACTATACTGATCTAACCACTACACATTCTACATTGAAAATCATAATTGTACCCCCCATATATGTATAATAAAAAATAAGAAAATAAAAATTAAAAAAATAAAACAAATAAAAACCAAATTGATATTTCCCTATAGTCAATATGTTGTTTCTTTTTGGCTGTTTTCAAGATTTTTTTCTCTCTTTAGTTTTTAGAATGTAAGTATTCTGTGTCTTAGCATAGATTTCTTTGGGTTTATCCTATTTGGGGTTCACTCAGATTTTTGAATTTGTAGGCTTATATTTTTGCCAAATTTGGGAAGTTTTCAACCATTATTTCTTTTTCTTTTTTTTGTAACAATGATTGGACTTTATTTTTTTAATTTAGTTTTTGAACTGAAACATAATTGATTATACATATTTATGGGGCACAGAATTAACTGTCAGTATTTGCATACAGTATATGATGATCAAATCAATATTATTAGCATGTTCATCATAACAAATCGTAATTATTTTTTGTGTTCCTTAGTCAGTTACTCCCTAACCCCCTCCTTCTCCTTTCCCACTTCAGTAACTATAGGTCTGTTCTCTCCTTCTGAAAGTTCAACATTTTATTGTGGTCTTTCTTTCTTTCTTTCTTTCTTTGCTCCCACTTATGAGTGAGGACATGTGGTATTTCTCTTTCTGTGCCTGGCTTATTTCACTTAACATAATTTTCTCCACTGTAAATTAGTGCAGCGATTATGGAAAACAGTATGGTGGTTTCTCAAACAACTACAGACAGAACTGCCATACAATCAGAGATGCCATTTCTGGGTGTATACCCAAAGGAATGGAAATCATGTTGAAGGGATACCTGCACTGCCATGTTCATCGCAGCTCTATTTACAATAGTCAATCATTATTTCTTTGAAAATTTTTTCAGTCCACCCTCTTTCTCCTCTTCTGAGACTCCTATGATATGCATTACAGATCTATTGCTATTGTTGTATAAGTTCCTGGAACTCTATTTATTCAGTTTTCTCTGATGTTTGGATTGAGTAAATTCTATTTATTTGGCCTCACGTTCACTAATTCTGTCTTCTGTTACCTCCACTCTGCTATTGAGCCCATCCAATGAGTTTTTCATTTAAATTATATTTTCCATTTTTTTTTACTTCTACTGCCTTGCTGAGATTTTTCTATTTTTTTTCACTTGTTTCAACAGCATTTTAATTGCTTGTGGAAGCATTGTATGATGGCTGTTGCTTTAAAATCCTTTTCTGGTAATTTTAACATCTGATTTATCTCAGTGTTTGTCTGTCGATTGTCTTTTCTCATTCAAGTTGTAATTTTCCTCATTCTTGGTATGATGGAATTCTGCACTGGATTTAAATCATCTATGTTACCAGGTGGTCATACTGTTTAGGTTTAGCACACAGGTCCTAGCATAATTTTGTGTTCCAATGGCAACATAATTTTCACAGACATTGATGGGCTATTTGTTTTGCTTAGTTCTTCTGGTGTCACTCGGGCTCCTGTTGATGCCTGCCAGAGCCAGCTGGTATCTCTGGATTGGAAAAGAGATTCTCCAACTTGATAAAATAAAGAGATCTAGCTGGGTTGGACAGCTTGCTGTGGTAAGATTTCCCCTTGCAGGTACTATCTGGTAAGAGGAGGGGAATCTCTGGCCAGTAGAGATGAAGAGCAGTTCCTGGCCACTTAATGTCAGCAGGGATCCTCCAAAATCTCCTTTCCAGTGCTTCCAGACCCACCTAAAGTTGTCACTAGCACTCGCCTTCTATTTTGATCTACCTTTTGCTAGGTTGGGAGATGCTGGACCTAAGTTACCTTCTGTTTCTGGGTGAAGAGTCATAAGATTTCAAGTAACTTTGCTGTTCTCCCAGTCCTTATGTCCCTAGTCAGTCTACCTTTCTCTTTCTACCTTTTAAAATATTTATACTGTTGCCTCTTTCATTATTTCCAGACTGTACTTACCTTCAGGAAGAGGCAAGTCAATGGCATTTTGTCCAAACTAAAAGCCTAATTTATATTTTTAAAACATCACTTGTTTATCTGAAGAATAAATTGTAGGAGGCTAGAGGTAATATGAGGAAAGTAAGAAGGAGGTTACTACAGTAGTACAGGCAGCATATGGTTGTGTTTTAAACTGGGGTGGTAGCAATGAATATGGAAACAAATGAATAAGTTAAAGATATTTAGAGGTAAAACAAACAAGATTCACTGATGTGTTGATGCTGGGGATTTCCAGCTTGAGCAATTGAATGAATGGAAGTACCACTGAAATGTCAAAAACATCTCCTTATATCCCCACTTGGACCAAACTCACCACAAAAATACATCCCTTTCTTAATACAGAGGCTCTGAGCTTACACTGGAGCAGAATTACACACTGAGGAGAAATGCATCCCATCCGATCTACTACTCCTGGTTGCTTTGATTTGTAACTGCACCAAGCTAAGGACCTCCCAGTTGCATGCAAATTATAACCATTAATTGAGTGGAGTCCCAAAGTGTTCTAGGTTTTCATTAACCTCCATGTTAACAGTGGGCCAAAAGGATTCTGCTGCTAAGTGCATTGATTCTGCATAGCTTAAAAACTACGCTAAAGCTTAAAAACTATGCTAACACTTAAATAACTAGAAATCTAATCCTCTCCACTTCTTCCCCCACTGTGTTTCTGAGATTTACAGTAAGGTTTCCAGAAAGCCACTGACCATGGTAAAACTACATGAAGATTCCCCCTCCTTCCTTCAACATTATATACCAACTGAACATCAGCCCTATGTATTTCTAAATTTTATCTGCAAGGTGTTGTTAACTAGCAGACAGTTGCTGGGCAGGTAGGAAAGTTGGAATCAATATGGATAAGAAGGATGGAGATTAGTAGAGGTTTCCAAAATATAGGAGAATGGAACCAGTATTATAGCTGAGTGGTCTTCAATAAAATCACTTAATCTCCTTGATGCTTTGTTTACTCAAATGTAAAATGGGATAGGACACTAATAGTACTGAAGTCAGTCAAATGCAATCAAGAATTAGAATGTTTTGTAAAGTGTAGAACACTATGTATTCCAGTTATCATCACTACTCTCCCTGATGCCTCTCCTGTTTTCCACTTGCCATGTGGTACAGTATGATGGATACTGTAGTGGGGGTGGCCCATCTTACCCCATCCTTACTCTATCCCTTGTCTTTGTTCTCTGACCAAGATTTCACAGAGGCTCAAACTTGCAGATAACAAAGGAATGTTGCTCTAAGTTACCAGAGAAAATGACTCTGTCCTATAAAGAGGTCCCCAAAGTTGCCAGTAGAACTCATATCTCCAGTGCAAAAAAAGGGCACACCAGATATGTGCCCACTTCTCCTTGTTTAGTGGACAGGTTTGAATCTGATCTCAGCCTTCGATCTCCCTCTGGCAACGTTTCTTGCCGTTCAGAAAATTTTTGCCACCTATGAGATAGTTCCTTTCTTAGGATGGCTCTCACCACTCTGACATTGAGGCTTTCTCTGAGACAGCTTTCTAGTCTCCAAAACACAAACCTGTAGGGTCCACAAAGGATAGGCAGACCCATACTATACACCCTCACCCCTGAGTGTTTTCTGTTTCAATCACAGTTAAACGTCCCTGAAAACACAGAGACAATAAAAATCACCAAATTCAGTCTTTCAGTGTTCTAACAAGTACTTTAATGAACAGGATTTGTGGTCTAAAACATGGGAGGTCATTCAACATCGCCTTTAGTGCCCCTGTGTGAAAAGTTGGAGGACTGATTTTCTCAAGAACTTCTGGCTCTGGAGGTTGTAAAGGCTCATGGAAGCAACAACCCATCATCCACCCACTTCTCCAAAGTAGTCCACTGCCAAGGACAATCAAAATTAAACTTGGATTCCCAGTTCTTACCCTACCTCCAATTTCCCATCATGACCATGTTCTTACTCTTTAATTTAGATGTGGGTTATCTTCACAGCTCACTTGGCCTCAGTTTCTGGAAAGCAGCAGAAAGCTAATTAATGAGTTTTTCTTTTGGTATTTACTTTGTCAGTAGGCTCAGTGTTTAGAAATTTCCAGACTTTCCAAGGGTCAGAGGGTGACATAGGCCAGCTGTTGAAATTTGTGATGTAGGATACTAGGGGATTCATCTAGCCCCAAGTGGCCAAGTGGGGCAAAGAAACTAAAGAAAAAGTGAAATCATATCATTTCCATGTAAATAAATAAGTGAAGAAATACCCATACTCATGTAAGTTTGATTTCCTCCTCTGCCTCTCCACCATCCATGCCTCCTTGACAGTGGGGTTAGCTGCTAGTTCATAGCCTGCTGGGAATGCATTCCAGATGTTGTTGCTGAGGAAATCGCCAGGCTCAAACTGTTACTACTTGAGAGACAGAAGCTTGAAGCTGTCATCTAAGATGGACCTCCTATTGCGCCGTAGCTTTCTCTGCTGATGCTGGTACCAGACCACACCACCAAGAGCCAGAACAATGAGCAGCAGGATGACACCCATAACAATCAAGACAGAAGCCAGCATCTCAACATCCTTCACAGGGATCTGCATGCCCAGCATCCTTACATTGCCTTCTCCAGTGCCGCTGGGTATCACTGCTGAAATGGGGGAAGAGGAAAATGAATACCCTGGGATGGGGAGTATTCTAAAGGGTCACGTTTTGCAGTCATCAGCTGGGGAAACACGTCTATTTAAATAGGACAGCAGCACATAAATGAATAAATGAATGAATGAATGAATAAATAAATAAGTAGGGCAGCAAACCTGTACCTATCCTTCAAAAGATCAGTGGATGAAGACAGATTTGGAGAATATGGAAAATCAGAGAAACAAGATGTCACCTCTGTAAGGGTCCTTGGAAATCACTGAGGCCCTACTCCACCCGTGGAAAGAGCTAAGACACAGAGTGGGAAAGCCCTTGATACATTTCATCAAATATCTAAAGGACTGTGATGTAGAAAATAAAGAATTGGACTTGGTCTTCATGGTTCCAGAGGGTAGAATTAGAAGCAATAAGGGAAACTCCAGAAAGCAGGTTGACTCACCCATCTAGCTAATCAATGCTCATTTTGACCATTACACCACGACAACAGCCTGCAATAGTGCTGTCTCATTTCTTACCACTTTAAGTCATATTAACATTGATGTCACATATATCTTTTAGGTGAAATATCTGATCGTGTTAGTTCCTGGCATACAAACTTTTGATGGTCCTCAATTATCCTACAGAGTAAAACTCAGACTCTTAAGCTAGACATTCCAGTTCTCACAATCAGGCTCTAACCTATTTTCTAGTCTTATCTACTACTCTTCAGCCACAGCAACTCATTCTTCGTTCCCCATAACAGGTGATCCTCTTTCAGGGTTTTAAGTCTGCTCATGCTAGTCCATTTTCCTGAACACACTTTCCTCATTCTCTGCATCTTTTTAGCCCCAGCTTAAATGTTACATAGCTCTGCAAGTTTTCTTCAGTTCGGTTGGACAATTAATTGGTCTTTCCTCTATGTTCCCAAAGTGGCTGTACAATTTGTACTCCCACAATTTATTTACTGTGTGACCTTGGTCCAAGTCACCTAATCCCTCACTTCCCATTTGGACCTCAGTTTTCTCTTGTAGAAAATAGGGATAATAACTATACCTAACACAGAGGCTTATTGTTGGGTTAAAATGAGTTAATATTTATAAAATATTTAGCATAGCACCTGACAAGTAGCCAGTGCACAATACATTTTAGCTGTTATTATCATTTACCTTTTTGTACAATGCATAATCCAGCACTGATATTATTGTTTCTGTGTCTCAACCAGTTGCTGACACTAGAGAATAGCAACTGTGTCTTAGTTGTTTTGGTTTCCCTAAAAATTGATACATGTTTGATGAATAAATGTTCTAACAGAACTGAGAAAAGATGGAATGCAATGAGTTCAAGCAGAAGCAGGAAAACATCCTAGTTCTGAGCTCACAGTTTCTCACTTAGTCCTCTTGTGACCTTGGACAAATCACTTTCCATCTTTCAGCTTCTCATGTAGAAAATTATTGTGTTTTATTAGCACAAAAGTTTTGAGGGTTTTTTCCCCATTGTGGAACCTTTTCAGCAAACTAGAGTTTAAGAGGAATCCATGTTTGTAAACAAAATAAACATATTTTATGTACAAATATACATATAAAATTTGTATGTGCACAAAAACACATATGAGTAGACAGATATACAGACATATATAAACATATAGAGAGAACTATATGTAAGTTTATATGTGTATATATATATGTATATGCATGTGTTTATATGTGTGCATGTGTGTGTTTGTATATATATCTGGGTGTGTGTGTGTGTGTGTATAATTTAGCAGTTTGGGTTGAAGGAGATGTGGTCTGAAGCCCCACACACTCAACCTCCCCTTACCTTTCTCCACCCCCTCCAGGACATACCCTAGTCACCCTGTTAACATTAGGATTTCTTCAAACACAGCTGAAAAACCTCCAAACTAAACTGATGATCTCTAACATCCCTTTTAGCTCTCATAATCTTCTGAATCTTTCCTAGTCCAGGGACAAATAGGATGAAGAATAAAAGCACCATTTGGAAATAGGGTGCATAAGACAAAAATCTATATTTTCTTGAAGAAAAAAAAATGGCTCATTCAAAAGGTATTCCATAGATTAAGGGGAAAGAGGCAAGAATAAAAACAGCCATTGAAGACTATCTGGTGTTGTTGTAATGTCACATTGTTCCTGTAAGGAATCCATGCCTGTGCTACAACTTTTTCATGCACAATCTAGCAGGACCTAGAATTTTCTTCTCCATCACACATTAGGTAGGATGCTAACATAGCAATCTGCAGCTGGGGATGAGGCTGTTTTCCCCAACTCAGGAGGTTGGGGTGGAGCAAGAGAGAATAAACCTGCTGAGGAAAGTTGAACTCTGGTTCTCTGGCTTATTAAGTCTTATAATAATCTCAGAATACTTCTTGCTAGTATCGTGGTACCCACCTTTCAGTCATGTTACTCCCATCTGCTAGAGGTACTCCCCCCACCAGCACACACATTACCTATAGCTTTCCAGTTTGTGCATCATTTTACTCACCTTTTTCAGTCTCTTTGTGGATGGTGGTGATAGTACTTAAGTGTTCTATATGAAACAAACAAACAAACAAAAACACGAGATGTTAGCCCTGTTATTCTTCCTACCAATCCACATGCTCCCTGTGGGAGGATGGCATTACTTGGGGGAATTTCTCTGTCGTATAGTAAGCAAAATGAGGGTGGAATTAACTACTACATTCTCAAAGTCAATATTGGTATGTTAATTTAATTTTCAGCAGTGACACAAAATATGGGCAAGAACATAGGCTTAGGAGTCCAAAATGTAAGTCAATTATTTATTCATTTCTTGGCACTTCCTCTCTCCCTATTATTGCTCTCTTTCCCACTATTTCTCACTCTCCCTTCAGGAAGCCCCTGCTCCTTGTTAAAAATACTTCCCTATATATTTAACTTCTTCTCAGAATACTTCTTCCTCTTCTTGCTTTAATGAGGCTGAGATTTTCTCTGAGGACTGTGCTTCATTTACACCATCTCAATACTGCTTTGAGATCATCGTCCCTCCCCTTTTTGTAAAAAATCTACCTCTTTAGAGGCTCATATTATTTGGCTAGAAAAATCACAATCACTTTTTGTTACTGTTACCTAGTAGTTCTCTTTATTCATGAAAGTCTTTCACACCCAGCTCAGTCTTCCTCTTCCTCAATTCTCACCATGGGTGTTAACCCATCCAACATTCACACCTCTTAACTCCAATGACTTTTACATCCTCTCCAGTTCTACCAACTTCTCATATGGTCACATTGGACTTGTTATCCAGCATTGCTTCAACTCAGATATCTAACATCTAACACCAATCTCTTACCCTTTTCAGTGCTCCAAAAACCTGTCATCAACCCCCACATTTCCATAAGACCTCTAGCTCCTGAATTCTTCCATTTTTCCCCAACCTACCAGCTTCCTCCTATCTTTTCTTCCATTCCTGGTCAGGCTAGACTCCATGGTCTATCATTTCAACTACTAACTTATCAAGAGTCTTGAAATCATCTACCAGAACCCCAGTAACCATACTTTCTGTGTATTTTATTTGGTATGCTGAATGCTGCTGGAAAAAATTAAACAATTGCAAAGATTAATATTCTTTGTGTACAACTTCAGCTTTGCTGCCTGGCAGTAATTAAGTTATTGCCCACTTTCCAGAGTGGCTACTTCAAACTTTTGCCCACTTTCCTCAAGCTCTTTACCATACTATCTGATCTTCGCTCTCAGCAGATGATTCTATCTGCTCCATCAAAAAGGAAACAGAGACCATAAGACAGAAATTCTCTACCTGTCTGTCAAGCTCCCCAATCCTACACATAGATCCTTATCTTTTATATCTTCTCTCTTCTTACAGTAGAAAGATTACCTTCCTCCAGTCTTGAACTAATCTTTCCTTTTAACTCTGGGTCTCATGAACGGCTGCTTCATTAGGAACCTTACTCCAACAATTAGTCCTTTCATCCCTATCTTTAACTCTTCCTTTCTGTTGGCCTGTTAGCACATATGGGGTGGAAGTAATATGGGATTAGACTATAGTGGGGTATAAACAAACAAAAAGGCAAATAAAATTTATGGGCTGGCTCATTATCATAGAGAGATATGAACTATGCTTGCTTCCTTGCTCATGGAAGTTTCCTGATGATATGTATTGAGATGGTCTCATATATTGGATGACTCTTATTTAGAATGTCCCATTATTACATGTGGATACAACCTGTTGTTTTGAATCTATAGAATGTTGATGACATATAAATGGATCATTTGACTTTTGTCCTAAAGACCACAAATAATTCTGTGTAACTATCTGGGTGCTAGGGAATAGTATTAGTATAAGTGGAAGCCACATTCTAGCAGTATGGGTTGCCAGAGAACAAACCTTTTTAATGATACAGGAAGTCATAATGTACAATTGTTTGTCTCCCTCCCCAGGGGTAAAGAGTATAGTTTTATTCTGTACCCTGGTTTTCTGAGTCTGTTTAAATGGCCAAAGACATTTATCCCCTCTCTATTCCTGCTAGTAGAGTCCCAGTGGCTGAAAACCTCAGAATGTCCACTACAATACCTCCATTTTTCAAAGCAGTATGACAAAAACAAAAATAGAAACAAAAACACTTGATTCTCATGGGCCCCAGAAGGTTTATTAGAGCTTCTTGGAAGGGGGAATAATGGAATAGTGCTGGGGGCTGAACTCAGGTCAAGAGGCTTAAAAAGCGAGGCATTTAACCCTTTAATGACCCAAAGACACAAAGCCAACACAGCCTACTCTTCCACATTCTTGGTGAATAACAAAGGATAATTGGTAAAGAAACTGCCCCAGCTATTCCCTCTTCATATAAAAAATATAAGAAAAAAAAGTTTTTTCAATCCTTGGTAGCAACTTTGTCTGCAATAAGCTATAATTAAAAGCCAGTATCTCTTTCTAACTTTGAAAGGAGTTATTCCCAGGACTGAAAGAACTGCCTTTCACAACCCCCACAAAATAAATCAATTAAGGGGTGACTGTTAGAATTACTTTTTCTCAGGGGGGAGGGGAAGAATTACTTTTTTTCTCTTTAAAAATAATTATTAGCAATATGTCTTGAAATAGTCAGTGCTTCTAACTCATTCTAAATAATAAATTTATATTTAAATTAAATTTATTTCAAAGGAAGCAGGTAGGTATTGATGCATACAGCCCAACCAGTTTTATGTTGGGTCAACCCATTTGAGCTCAATATGTGTCAAAGTAATAAGGGAAGGGGTAGGTGTCAGGGGGCAATGGTGGATGAAAAATAGTGGTTGGGGGAATACTTAGATGGGGCTATGCTCTGTCTTAAGACATGGTTCTACTGGGATCAGAAGGAGAGGTGCAAGATGTTTCTTTGTATTACCTGGTTTCTATAGGCTAGATAAAGTGTTAGAAGATGATCCATCTTGAGCAGTTAGGCCTTACCTTTTTGGGACAAAACAGTGAAGAGAGTCTCCATGCCAGCATGGACATGGTCAGTCACATGGCAATGCATCAGCCATGTCCCAGGGTTGCTGGCCACCATCTCTACAACCTCAAAGGTCCCTGGGAACAGATCCACCACATCTGCCCGGTAGCTCTCTCCATTCTGCAGGAGTGATTGGGGTTGGGGAGGCGGGAGGAAGTGAAGAGTACAGAGATCATCTCAGATCTTGTAGGAACTACAAGTCTGTGGTGTTCAACATCAAGAAAATGGGACTGCAAGAATCCCAGACCAGAGAGCAGCTTTAAAGTTCACCTTATCCATTTCCCTTATAAACCCACCCACACAAAATAAATCAAAAGACTCCCTCCTTCTACTTTTTCTTACAATGTCTCAAAGTAAAAGATATTCAAGAATCCTTTAGAGGGCTCAAAACTAGTAACTCTATACTTTTCAGCAGGCTGAAATCTGAAGAATTTGGCTTAAACCTTGACCCCTATGGAAGAGCTACATATTCTCTTTAGAAATTAATTCAACTTAGTTTCTCCTCCTTGACATCACCTTTATCTGCACTTCTCTAAGTGTATATCAATGCTTCCAACTCTGTCCCTTTTTCCTAAGACTACATCTTCTTCAAAATCTACATATTGTTTCATTTAGCTCCTGAACTGAAGCTCTTCTTATAATGGATTAAGGACTTTCAGAGATTCTAAGACAACACTCTGAAATTCCTCACTCATTGAGTCTCAAGTCCTTGACTGAGACCAGTTTACATTGATTCCTTCAATCTCCTTACCCCATAAATGAGCCATTCCTCTCTTTCAAAAGGGAAAGTTAAGGCCTAGAGGGAAGTGACTGACCCTGGAATATGCAGACACACTAGAATTCCCAGCTCAATCTTCCCTGTACTAGACCTCTGCTCTTTTAACTGATTACAACCTTGTTCCTTGATATTCCCTTCTTCTTTAATGTCTGTTAAGGCACTCCTCTAATCACCCTTAGGGACTCAGCCCTCTTCCCAGCTCACCCGATAGAAGAAGCTCTCTGCATGGAAGTGGACAGTGTGTATGTCAATATCTTGGCCCATGGCAAGCATGTACCAAGCCACTCGTTCTCCTTGGTACATGGTAAGACCCCTGAGGTTGGCATAGAGTTTCCCATTGATGGCTGTAAAAGAAGAAATTATCTTACACCTCTTCTTTTGACTCTGCACTGCGACTGCCTTTGGTCTAGTGCCTATCATCTCTGATGATAGCAACAGGCTACTAACTTGTCTCATCTCTATTCCATCTGTCTCCCTCCAATCTATCTTCCACATTAATGCTATCAGACTGATTTCTTTAAATAATTAATCTAACCATGCCATTATGCTGCTTAAAATATTTTAATAGCTCCCTCCTGCCCAAAAGAGCAAGTCCATGGTTCCTTAGGCTCAACCAACAAGGTCCTTAGCCCAAACCACCTTGGTAGACTAATCTCCCACTATCCAACACATTTATTCCAAGTAGGGTGACTTCATCACCACTATTTCCTGCATCCCCTTCTACCTCTGAACTCCTCCAGTAATGTCTGTACAACTCATTGTACATATCTTTTAATGTGCGGAACCTTACATCCCATACTAGATTTTAGGTTCTTAATAAGCAGGAAATGAATGTATATGCTACAGTACTATAACTTCCTCATATTTTTTTCAGAACACCCAGCAGATACCTGGGCCTACAATAAATGTTAAAAAAAAAAAGAGACTGTCACATTCATGGAATTAATAATAATATTAGTGCAGAATCCTCATTATTTGTCTCTTCCAGGTCACATCCTAAGCTCCAAAGACACCAAACTACTTATTGCCATATTAATTGACACTGCCAGGACTTTTCCCAGGACAATATCCTCTCACTTCTCATGTTCTTATGGAGGAAAGGTGATTTCCATTCTATTTCCCGAGAGCAAAAACAATGGAAGGAACATTTACAGTCTGTCTCTGTGTCTATCCTAACCAAATAGTAAATTTGAGAGAAGGAACCAAACACGCTCAGTTGAGCCCTTCCTAGATCTTCTCTTTTTTTAAGTCTGACCCAGAAAAGGGTTCAAACTGATTCACTGTTTCATTGTGGGTAAGATTCTGCCTCTGCCAAGGGGGAGAGCTATTGCTGTCTATCTATACCAATGACAAGGTGGAAAAATCTCTCTTTTGCAAGTGGAGTATCAGCAAGCCCATTAAGTTGCAGAACTGAATTCAGTTTTCTAATTAGCCTTCTCAGTAATAAAGCTCACGTTTGACTGCAAGCATTTCTTTTTCTGTTTGTTCAGGAATGTAATCTGGAGGGGAAGGGATATTATTTATTTGCCCCCTCAGACCCCAACATTACTTATCTTTATATCTCCAGCATCAGCACTCAGAAAGAGCTCAACAAATATCTACTAGATAGATAGGTAGATGGATTGATGCCTGAAGAGTTTGGATGAATTGATATGTAAGCAAACACATGAAAGTGGGCATTAGTCAAAACCCTGCATTAGCAGGACCTAACTGTGTCTTTATTCCCTTTTTGTCCTGGGCCATTTATTTCTTGGTTTGACAGGATCTAAAAAGTTCACCTTGTAAATTTTGTGAATCATCTGTTCTAAAGTGAATCACTTGTCTATCAAGGAGAAATAGCTGAAATCTGTGAGACAATAAGATACTACTTTTGAGTTCCATTATAGTCACTATCAAAGCTGCACCTCATTCTCAGATCAAAGAAATCTTGGGCTAGAAGGGATGGTGAGAGATCACATCATATATTCTACTGCACTTAATCTCTCCTTATTTGATACTTTCTCCTTTTTTTTTGGAAAAGTTACACAGATCTCTAGAGCAAAGAAAGGCTTTGATGCATAATTTCTCTCCAAAATCCACTCAGCATCAAAAAGATCTTCCTTGCAGCTGGCTCCACAGCTCACTCGGGAGAGTGCGGTGCTGGTAGCGCCGAGGCCATGGGTTCAGATCCTATATAGGGATGGCTGGTGCACTCACTGGCTGAGCGTGGTGCAGACAACACCGTGCTGAGGGTTGTGATCCCCTTACCGGTCAGAAAAAAAAAAAATCTTCTAACATAAATCCAATATGCTACCCCATGAGGCTCTCTTCTCCAATTATTCCAGCTGTAAATTGAAACTTTGACTTAAAAACAGACTAAATGACAAGCTGTCCTTAATCTGTATATATTGGAGTACATTGAGAAAGCAGGTCCTGAATTCAGTGTGGTAAAAAAATAATGACATTGAGAGACTAAACTCAAGATATTTTGAAATAGAGGGGTCTTAGGCAGCCAGCTCCCCAGGTATATTGTGGGCCATAATGTCCACCCTGCATTCCCTAATATGTTAAAATATGCTAGTGTTACCCAGAAATTTTACAGAGCCAACTTCCTGTTTTCTGAGCACCTGATCTAATGTGGACCACATATCCGATTTGTATATATAAATGTACATTATTAGGAAACACTTTTTCCAATTCATCTTCATCCCACCTTCCCACCTTCTCATCCTTTCTGGAACTATGCCTTCCGTAAGTAGTGATGGACTTATCAGATAACCCCATGCAACCATTGCGGACTTATTTGGAAGAGGGGTATATTCACTTCTACAGACCATGCATTTTATTGCTCTCCAAGAAAGTCTCATCCTGCAGGTTAATATGGCCTGACTCCTTGGGCCTGTGGGTGGCGATGTTCTCCTCCAGATACCAAGACAGGTTCTCATCAAAGATCAAAAATAACAAGGCAAATTCCCTGTCCATGTCACTCCGTCCTCCATGGGCCTTCAGGATTCCCTTGCGGCAGATGACCAAGGGCCCCACCAGGCCACTATATATGTCCTAAGACAGGAAGGGGAAGAGAAAGAAATGGTGTTGTTCCAGGGTAGTAGTGCTCTGTAGGGAGCCAGGCTCACATACAAGCCCACTGTGCCAATCAGGACTTAATCATAATGTCTTCTATTTGTAAGCATTCCACTATGTTATTTGAACTTATTCTCACAACCATCTTAGAGCATAGGTAAGATGCAATATTTAACCTGTGCTTTAGCTGGGCAGAACTATTCATTGACCTCCAAATCTACCAAGAACATTCACAACCTACTGCCTTTTTATTCATGTTTTTTTTTCTGCCTACAATGCCCTCCCCTCCATCATATCTATTATCTGATGGTACACTTTTATTCAGTTTTTGAAATCCAGAGAATATGTACTTCTCATTGTGATGCCTTCTCTTGCTTCCTTTTCGCTCAAAAAAAATCACACTCTTTGAAGGTGGAAAATTTATCTTACATTACTATCATCCAAAGTGCCAAGTACCCTGATACCAAAATCAGAAAAAGACACAACAAAAGAAGAAAGCTACAGGCCAATATCCTTGATGAACATACATGCAAAAATCCTCAACAAGATATGAGCAAATAGAACACAACAGCACATCTAAAAGTTTATACACCATGATCAACTGGGATTCATCCCAGTGATGCAAGGATGGTTCACCATACACAATACAATAAATGTGATACACCACATTACCAAAAGCAAGGACAAAAATCATATGATTATCTCAACAGATGCAGAAAGAGCATTTGACAAAATTCAGCATCACTTCATGATAAAGACATCCAGCAAATTAGGTATAGAAGGAAAGTATCTCAACACAATTAAACCCAAATAAGACAAACCCACTACAAACATCATCCTGTATGGGGAAAACCTGAAAGATTTTCCTTTAATAACAGGAACAAGACAAGGATGCCCTCTTTCACCACTGCTATTCAACATATTATTGGAAGCATTAGCCAGAGCAATCAGGAAAGAGAAAGAAATAACTGGCATCCAAATTGGGAAAGTTGAAGTCAAACTGTCACTGTTCACAGATGACATGATGCTATATTTAGAAAAACCCATAACATCTACCAAAAAACTCCTAGAGCTCATAAGCAAATTCAGTAAATTTGCAGGTTACAAAATCAATACACAAGAATCAGTAACGTTCTTATACACCAACTATGAACAAGCAGAGAAAGAAATCAAGAAGCAAGCACATTTACAATAGCTACCAAAAGAATAAAATACTTACGAATAAATTTAACCATAGAGGGGAAAGATCTCTACAAACAGAACTAAAAAGTAATGTTGAAAGAAATTAAAGAGGACATCAAAAGATGGAAAGACATTCCATGTTCATGGATTGGAAGGATTAACAATGTAAAAATGTCCACACTACCCAAAGTGATCTAGAGATTCAATGCAATCCCCATCAAAGTACCAATGACATTCTTCACAGAAATGGAAAAAAAAAAAAACAAAAAACAATCCTAACATTCATATGGAACAACAAAAGACCCCAAATAGCCGAAGTAATCCTGACCTACATAAGTGAATGAATGAATGAATGGATGGATGGATGAATAAATAAAACTGGAGGCATTAGACAACCTGACTTCAAACTACAAAGCTATAGTAACCAAAACAATATGGTACTAGCATAAAAACAAACACATAGACCAAGGGAACAGAATAGTGAACACAGAAATTAACCCAGGTACTCACAGCCAACCAAACTTTGACAAAGGCAACAAGAACATGCATTGGGGAAAGGACACCTTCTTCAGCAAATGATACTGAGAAAACTGGAAATCCATACGTAGAAGAATGAAACTAGAACTGTATTTCCTGTCATATACCAAAATCAACTTAAAGTGGAACAAAAACTTAAATTTAAGACTTGAAACTGGAAAATTCCTGGAAGAAACATAGGGAAAACACTTCAGGATGTAGTACTGGGCAAAGACTTTAGGAATAAGACCCCCAAAACACAAGCAACAAAAAGAAAAATAAGCAAATGGGATTATATCAAATTAAAAAGATTCTGCACAGCAAAGGAAATGATCAGCAGAGTGAAAAGACAACCCATAGAATGAGAAATATTTGCAAACTATGCATCCAACAAGGAATTAATATCCAGAATATACAAGGAACTCAAACAACTTCACAGTAAAACAAAACAAAACAAAACAAAAACCAAAAAACAAGTAACCTGATTAAAAAATGAGCAAAGAAGCTACATAGGCATTTCTCAAAGGAAGATATACAAATGATCAACCGACACATAAAATAATACTCAACATCACTTAGCATGAGGGAAATGCAAATCAAAACCACACTGAGATATCATCTCACCCCAGTTAGACTGGCTATTACCAAAAAGCATGAGAATAACAAATGCTGGTGAAGATGTGGAGGAAAGGGGACGGTTTCACGCTGTCAGTGAGACTCAAAATTAGTGCAGCCATTATGGAAAACAGTATGGAAGTCTCTCAAACAACCACAGATAGAACTAACATATGATCCAGCAATCCCACTACAGGGTATATACCCAAAGTGATGGAAATCATCATGTCGAAGGGATACCTGCACTCCCACATTCATCTCAGCTCTATTTACAATAACCAAGAGTTGGAACTGAAGCTGGAACCTCTAGAACTCAGGGGAAGAGGAGGAGAGACCTACAGAGTTCATGAAGACAGGAGAAGCCACATGGAGAGAAAGGACCCCTCCGACTGTTCTGAGCCCCAACCACTTCAAGCCTGGCCCTGATGAGCACATGGAGCATGAGCTGGCAAAAGCCACTACTGTGCCATTTGTCTGTATTTGCTTGAAGGCTTAAGGGTAGAAGAGGGCCTTGGTGGCTCCCAGGCCATCAAGACCACTAACAGGGTTTCTTGTGTGTCCACATAGAAGCAAGGGGCCATAGACAACTGAGAAAAGGAACCACTCAGAGGCTGTTAAATCATCACAAGAGACTGGCACATGGTCCATCCCATGGGAAGTGTTTGGAGTGGGAGACTGGTCCACCAAGGGAACACCAGGGCGCAGCATGGGCAGCTGATCTGTCCTCCAGTCAGCACAGCATCACTCAATGGAGACTGATCAAGAATATAGAACTGCAGGGGGTACAGTTTGCTGAAAAGACTCAAGAGCAGACCAGAGTTTCCACACAACCCAGATGTACCAGACCTCACAAGATCTGGAAGTGCTTACAATGTCAGCAATTAAAACCTGAGCTATACAAAAAGTCTGCCCCAGAGAATCAGCAGCAAAGCAGCAATTTATCTCAGCCACAGGCCTCAAGTTTTGGTTCACACAGGAAGTCTTCCCATGTTAACAGTAACCAAAGAACAACAAATTAGTTCCAGTGCAGAGTTTAAGTGGTGGAAATAGTGAATAATCCAACACAGAACTGAAAACAAACAAACAAACAAACAAACAAAAAAACACAAATCAGAGACAAAGTTTGGATATTAACCAGTAAAGTTCTAACACCACCAAAGAACTTATAAAACCTACAAAGACCAGAAGCCCACCAGACTCTGAAGCTGGGGTGGTGGAAGGCCAAGGTCTTCAACCACTCCACACGAACATCCATATCCAGCTCAGTGATGACTGCTGAGCCACTACCAAAAGCACCTTGGGCTCCTGAGCCTGGGTGAGGGGGCCAAGGGCCTCAGCCATGCTGCCCGAATGTCCAAATCCAGCCTGGTGATTACCACCAGGCCACCACCAGAAGAACCCCAGGCTCCAATGCCAAGGTGGTGGGGGACCAAATGCCTCTGCCACACCATTTGACATCCACATCCAGCCCAGCAACAACCACCAGGAATGCCCCAAGCTCCTAAGCCAAGGTAGTGGGGGGACAAATACCCCAGCCATGCCCCCCCCAACATCTGCATCCAGCCCAACAATGACTGAGCCACCACCAGAAGCACCCTGGGCTCCTGAGCTCGGGTGGGAGGGCAATGGCCTCAGCCATGCACCCCCAACATTCACATCTTTTCCAGCAACAACTGAGCCACCACTGGAAGTGACCCAGGCTCCTAGCTGGGGGGGGGGGTGCCATGGGCCTCAGCCATGTCCCCAACATCTTCATCCAACCCAGCAATGACACCAGGGCATCACTGGAAGCACCCTGGACTCCTGAGCTGGGGCAGTGTAGGGCTGAGGGCTTCAGCCACACACCCCCAACATCCTCATCCAGCCAAGTGATGACCATTGAGCTGTCACCTGAATTTCCCTGGGCTCCTGGGTGTGGACAAGGGTCTCAGCCATGCCTCCCTGACATCCGCATCCAGCCCAGCGAAGACCACCAGGCTGCCACTGGAAGCACTCCAGGCTCCCAAGCTGGGGCAGTGTGGGGCCGTGGGCCTCATCCACATACCCCAATGCCCACACCCAGCCAAGTGATGACCACCGAACTGATGCCAGAAGCACCCCAGGTTCCCAAGGTAGAGGAGTGCTGAGGGCCTCAGCCATGCCCCCCCCAAATTCCACATCCAGCCCAGCCACAACTAAGCCACTAATGGAAGTCCCCTGGGGTTCCCTGATAGAATGAGGGGGGTGCCACAGGCCTCAACCATGCCCCCCTCCTTCCTCCTCCTTCCACCCTATACCTGTCCCCTTTCCCCTCTCCCTCTCCCCCCAACTGCTCTGTAACAACTTAGAATGTAAAAAAATAATAATAAATAAATTTCTTAAAATGGAAAAAAAAAAAAAAGAGTTGGAACCAACCTAAATGTCCATTAACGGATGACTGGATAAGGAAAATGTGGTATATATACACAGTAGAATATTACTTAGCCATAAAAAGGAATGAAATTATGCCATTCATAGCAACATGGATGAGCATAGAGAAAATTATGTAAAGTGAAATAAGCCAGGCACAGAAAGAGAAATATTGCATTTTCTCATGAGAGAGAGAGAAGGAGGGAGAGAGAAGGAGGGAGGGCGGAAGGAGGGAGGGAGGAAGGAAGGGAAAGAGAAAAAAGAAAGGAAAGGGAAGG